TTAGTACTCTTACTTTATACTTTAGGAAATGGTAGCTCTGAGACGTGGTTGAGCTGCCATTCAAAAGCCAATCGTGACCCCCCAAATTGTATTCTTTTCCCTTGGCAATGCTGCCTTTGGAGCCCCCAAACCCCATGCCTAAGGGGAGTTCAGACTCAATAGATATTTTTTTCCAGAGGTCATTTCATGTCACCCACTGCTAGTCACATACCATGTTCTCTCTAAAAAGCAAGAAAAACCCTTCAGTGAATGTATCAGCTTATGAGAAGTTTTATACCTAAGAGAGAACTAGTGCTAGTGGAGCAGCTAGGTGGCCAGATTCTGGTGCAAGCTGGCTCTAGTGACCTGTGCAGCCACTAAGAGAAGGAAGAGTACATCCAGTCCCTCCTCACTTCCCCCGTGAGGGCCCCAGCTGTCAGGTACTGAGGATCACAGATTCAGCAACACATAGTAACGCTTGATGATAAGCTCACATTTGTCGATGGTCACATGCCAGCCGCTGTACTAAGAACTTCACATACATGGTGAAGATGGGATTTCAAAGCAGAATTAACCTTAGCACTACTGACGCTTTGTTCCAGATTGTTCTTTCTTGTGGTGCTGTCTGGGGCATTCTGACATGCTCCATAGCACCCACTAGGTGCCAGCAGCACACCCACTCCCAGTTCTGACAATCAAAAATGTTTCCAGACGTCCAGATTGCTGAACGTTTCCTGGGTGACCAAACTGCCCCCATTTGAGGACCACTGTTTTAAAGTATACACGGATATGCCTCTAAATCGATACAGTGGGACCACTGGCCTGTAGTTCCTGCTAGCACAGAGTCTGAGGACAACCCTGTCTGCGTCTACTCAGGTCAGCCCAGGCCATTCTGCACATCTGCCTGGAGCTCTGGGTAACAGGATCACGCCTGCTGTTCAACTCTCCATGAAGTCAATGCATAACAATATGAGCCTACTAATGAAGGACCCAAAACAGAATGAATTGCCCCAAACCCCAGGGCCTTAGGCTCCGCAGTTGTTCTGCTCAGGAGTAGCTGGTAGTGGGAGAATTACTTTCAAATCCTATCTGGCCCCTAATTAGTTATGCAGTCTCACAAAGTGTCTTACCCTCTCCCGTCTATAAAATCAGGATAACAGTAACCCCACTTCCATCACATGGGTTTTCAGGAGGATTAAACAGGACGTTAAATTGAAAGCTCCTACTCCTATGCAGGCACTTAGTAGGCTTAGTGAAGCTAAAATTGCCTTTGCCTTCACCCTTATCTCACCAAGACAAAGAAGAATTTGATTTGGAACAAAACCAGTGAGAGCTGTACAACGAATTCCATCAAACAGAGCCTGTGTTATAAATGGGATACTCTATTTCCTTCCAAGCATGACATTCAGGCTTGGCATAATCCAACTCCTTTGTGAATCTCCAGGTAATCTCCCTTTGACCATGTGCACAGACCTGTTGGATCAAGACTGCGGTGTAGGCCCTCTTGAAAAAAAAGGTGTGGGCCCCTCTGCAGGTGTCTGCTGTCCGATAAGCTTGTCAGCAGAGGCTTTTTTGTGCCTGGCTCATCTGTCAGATGTCCAGGTGTGCCTGGGCTCAGCTTACACTCTGAGTCAGGGTCATGGTTGCCAGGACAGAGGAGTTTTCCCTCAGGGATAGAAGCTTTTTTTCAACTTGAATAACAACCTGCTGCAGCCTGGAGCCCACAGAAGTCGATGAATGGGTTTTTCTTTGCCCTGCATCTGAAAACCAAGCGCCAGCACTCCTGCATGGATTGTATTGCTACACATTCTCTGGGGAAGCAGGTCAGGGAGGCTCTTGGTACAGCTGCAGGTCACAGGGTAAAAAGAAAGGGGGAAGTAGACAGTGGCTACCCAGTAAACCTGTATCCTATAAATTATGGCTAATTAAACAAAGCCTTGTTTAGACCAGAACTGGAAATCCAGTCTTGGATGGTCTTAGCTCATCTAGTCTTCTTTCTCAGGCATTCATTTCCCTGCATTTCTCAGGCAGAGGGTAAGGGGGAGAGAGAATAGAATAAACAAAAACAATTTTCAAATCTGAAAATATTTTTAGTGTTCACAATTTTTTAAAAATCATTTTGATGGAAGAGGAAGGTAAAGCTTTTGGGCAAAATGAAATTTCGGGGTAATTCAGATTTCATTCACTCACTTCCTTGTTTTCTCTTTAAGCCTGTGGAGTCCTCTAAGAGTGGCTATAAAATGTTCTGCACCTAGCAGTGTGCTTCTGCAGGAGTCTGGGAAGCATACACTGTTTGAACATTCTCCCCAGGAGCCGCGGAGGAAGAATGTCGTTACCAGCCTTCTGTACCCAGCTGGGCTTGGGGACCTTGCTATGTGAAGCTTGTGAAAACTGCATGATTTGAACATAGGCTCAGCCGAGCTAATGAGGACAAACTTCAGATAACCATGACACAGAATAATGCCTCTTAGAAATGGAATACTGTGCAGTACATCAAAATGTAAAAGTTGAGAATAAAAACTTTCGTGCACAACCCCTCAGAAATGTAGTTACCCAGAACCCAGCTGAATATCATCTAATAATTAAGAGCACAGACTCTGGAGTCAGCCCTGTTTCAAATCTTGAGAGCTTGGTCAGGTTTCTTACTTATTCTGTGCCTCAGTGTCTACATTTGTCAAAATGATGCCTGCATCAGTTTCTTAAGGCTTCTGTAACAAGCTTCCACAAATTTTGTGCTTTAAAATTTGGTGGCTTAAAACCACAGAAATTTATTCTCTCACAGTTCTGTAGGTTAGAAGTCCGAGATCAAGCTGTCAGCAGGGCCATCCCCACTCTGAAGGCTCTAGGGCAGGGGTGTCAAACTCATTTTCACCGGTGGGGGGGGGGGTGCCACATCAGCCTCACAGTTGCCTTCAAAGGGCTGAATATAATCTTAGGACTGTGTAAATGTAACTATTCCTTAACTAGGGGCAAGGAGCTCGGTGTTGCTGCTGGGTAGAAACAGGGTGCAGGGCCAGATAAAACAAGGTGGAGGGCCAGATTCAGCCAGCGGGCCTTGTGTTTGCCATCTGTGCTCTTGGGGAAGATCCTTCCTGTCCTGTCCAGCTTCTGGTGTTCACCATCAGTTCTTGGTGTTTCTTGTCTTATAGACACATCACTCAATCCTCCCCCGTCCTCACATGATATTCTCTTTGTGTCCATGTCTTAATCTCCTTTTTCTGTAAGGACACAAGTCACGTTGGATTAAGGGCCCACTCTACTCCAGCCTGATCTCATCTTATCTTGATCACATCTGCAATGACCCGATTTCCAAAAGCAGTCAAACTCACAGTTACCTAGGGTTAGGACTTCAGTATATCTTTTTTGGAGAACAATGTAACCCACAACAATATCCCATGGGGTTGTTGTGAGGATCAAATAAGATAATGGGAAAAGAAATTAGACCAGTGCCTGGTACGTAGTAACACAATAGTACTATTATTTCTAAATTCTTACAAGGGTGGGTATTATTGTCCTTTGACAGAAGGAAAAACCTGGACTGGTGGTTAGAAAATTGTGGGCGGCAGACTCAGAGTTGGTGATCCCAGAACCCATGTACTTCTCTTTGTCCACTCCACACTCCTTCTAGAGTGACTTGGTTTTCTATCATAGCCTATTCCTATTTATTGTCCTTGAAAGACTATCTTTCCAACTCCTGGGTTCTTCTATTTGACACCTTAAAATGTATTCAATACTTTAGAATCTAAAATTAAAACGCACTCAGCTACAATAGTATTGATTCTAACATTCAACACACATGTCTTGAACCTTTAACTGTGCTAAGTACCACACTAGGTTTAAACACTAAGCACTATTTGTAGGTTTAGGACAACAAAGTATACTGGAATGTTCTTTTGCTTCAAGAGTTTGAGGATGAGGTATGTCCAGAACTAGCTATTTATAAAAAAATTTATGACATGACAGATGATGTTTAAGTGCTTTAACAAATATTAACATATTTAGTTGCTCTAACAACTCTGTAATGGAGGTACTGGTTGATTTTTATTTCACAGGTTCAAATATGTAGTAAGCACAGAAAGGCTAAAATCCCAAAGCTGGAGTGTGCCAGAATGTTCTAGACTTGTGACCTGACCCGGGTAGTCTGCCTTTTGGCTCCAGAGTCTTCACTTTTAAGTGCTGTGTCCCATGTGAAATAGATTTATTTAAACCTTCCTTGTGCAAGGTTATTTTAAATATTTTAACATTGGAGACAATGCTACAGTAAACATTCTTAAGCTAAATCTTTGTACATGTCCTGAATTACTTTTCTTGTACGAGAATTGCTGTGTGAAGGAGTACGCGTATTGTTAGGGCCTTGGTACATAGCATCAAATTGCAAGAATGAGGAAATGAGTTCTCAGGAAGTAAAAATGTAATTGGCAAAAGCACGAAATGGAAAGTATGGGGGTATATCTGGAAAGTGGCAAACACTCCAGTCTGAATGGAATGTAAAGTGCTTAAAGACGAGAGATTGGAGAGCTGCTTCTAAAGTGGTCTGGAGCCAGCCTGTGGAGAGCTCTGAATGCCAGGCTGTGGAATTTAGACTTTGTCAAGCAGCACTCAAAAACCAGCATACGTTTTCACGTTTTTGAAATGAGAAATGAAATGGTCAGATTCTTAAAAATAATTTTCTTAAAAACAATTTTAAGAAAAACTTTCTCTGTCTGCTGAAAGGAGAATCACTCATCATAATTGTTTACATGCAGCCCTGGCTGGGTAGCTTTGTTGATTAGAGCATTGTCATGATATGCAGAGGTTGTGGGTTCTATCCCCAGTCAGGGAACATACAAGAATAAACCAATGAATGCATAAACAAGTGGAACAAAAAAGCATTCTCTCTCTCTAAATCAATAAATTTTTTAAAAAATTAAAGATTATCATGCAGCTGGATTTGGAGGAGGGGATTAGTATTTATTTCACTTATATTTTTAACAGTGCATTATTAAAATCATCTACTTACATAAATCAAAAATATAGGAAATATACTTACCTAGTAGGAGAGATACCATGATCCAAAGGGGGTTTTTCCAGGGCGAGGCTTATCCACTGCACTATGGGGTGCTGACCCCTGTGATTTCCCCAGATGTGGGAAACTTGACTACATACTTTGTAACAGTGGGGACTGCATTCATGCTCTCCCCTAGGAAAAAAAGGAAACAAACCAAAGAGTAATATAATATATTAATAATATATATCTGTATATCACATATTTTATTATATATTATGTTATATATTATATAAAATATAGTATATTCAATGTATAATTCTATATTATGATATAATAATATACTATAAGGAATAATACAAATGGTAATTGTTCTGACTCTGGAGTTTATCACTGCCCAATACTTTTTAAAAACTTTTATTATGTACATAAGTATATATGAGCAAAATATGATATGTTGCTTATTTTTAAATTTCATATAAATACAATCATACTACATGTATTTTATTGCAATTAGATTTTACATTCACCATGAGAATTTTTTATATTTGCTTTAATTAACACATGTGATTCTAGGTCACCTGTTTTTTTTTATGCTAATGATACAGCATTCCCTTGCAGGAATATACTATAATATTTTTCTCTCTTTTAAAAAAGACTTTATTTATTTATTTTTTAGAGAGATGGGGAAGAGAAGGAGAAAGAAGGAGAGAAACACCAGTGTGTGGTTGTCCCTCCTGCGCCCCTGACTGGGGACCTGGCCTGCAACCCAGGCATGTACCCTGACTGGGAATCGAACTAACAACCCTTTGGTTTGCAGCCAGGGCTCAATCCACTGAGCTACACCAGCCAGGGATGATATTTTTCTCTTCATGATGGACATTTAAGTCATTTTGGAAAAAAAATTCTGTATTTACAAATAATGCTCTCCTGACATTCTTCATGTCTTCTTTTGCACCTGCCAAGTGGACAGGCTTTCTCAACCCGGGTTCCTCTTCTGAGCCACGGAACAGGGAGAATAGATAATTAGAATAACTCTTTTCTCAATTTCCCACTGAAGGTGTATAACTAGCACCATTCAAAACAGATGCATAAATGAAAAGTTAATTCATTTCATACAATGATGCCTCTGGACATTAGTGCTTAATTTTCTTCATAAATGGTTGAGGAAGACTGCTGAGATATATCTTAGTAGCAAAACTGCTGCTGGGTTTGTACAAGTTCAATTTTCCCTGTTGGTGCCAAAAGCACTCTTCCAAGTATTTGTGCCAGCTTAACACTAATATGCAAGATGTCCCCTGCTCCACAGCATGGCCCACAAGTGCAACGGTCAGATTTTCTAAACGCTGGTTACTCTGAGGGGAGTAAAACAGCATCTCAGACTTTTAAACTTGCATTTCCACAATTACATGTAAGGAGAGCTTTTTTGTATATGGACTACATAAATTTCCCTCTTTGTGAATTTCCTGTTCACATGTTGGTCCATCTATTTCTCAGTTGAATTATTTGCCTTTTTATGTCAATTTGTAATCCTTCTTTACATATTATGATAGTAATCCTTTACTGGTGATATGCATCATGTCAAGTATTAATTAAAGTAATCCTTTATGGTGAATTTTAGGAGGTTTTGAGTCCTGCAGTAAGGCTAATTAACTCCCGGCAAAAAGAGGTTTCACAGATGAACAGCCAACATGAAGGTTACAATTTATTCAGTTAGTATAGACAAATACTGCATATCTCTATGGATTAGACTCTAATTTCTAGGGATATAGAAATAAACCTCTCTGCCCTTAAGAGGTTTGCAATCTAAAGGAAGAAATAGACAACTAACCACTGTAATTCTAACACAACCATCACACCATCAATGGTTAGCAAAACATATTACATGTCTTACCACAATGATGCCCCTTTAGGGTGAAAAGGGTAAAGTGTTTCTGCTGGTCACTGTCACATGCTTGAATGAACAAGAGCAATGGAAACACTTCTTTCCTGGGCTTCAGGTCCCACTTCCTCACAGGGCACAGGGTGCCCAGTTCAGGGGTGTGGGGCCATACCTGGCATCCTCTAGTGCTGACACACCTGGCTGGACAGAAGGCCTTCTTAAAATTACATTCTTTTAAGTATATGTGTTTTCTGTTCCCTCGCACCTCTGTAAACAAGGCTGTTTGCTGCTGTTCCTATCGAGCTGTTCCCTGCAACCGTGTAGAAAGACTCACAACAGCACTTGTCAGAAACTGCAGCAGAGCAACCCACAACAGCTGGTGGCATGAGGAACCCATGCATCTGCTTTCCCCTCTCTGCCAGGCCTCCCTGAATAACGTGAGGTCTTGTGGACACGAGAAGGATGCGACTGATCTGCCAACAGTGGGCCCCGAGCTCTGCGTTGTTATTTAAATAGCTGGGGGTTGCCTTTACATTGGCCCACTCACACACTGTCACCTAATTCTCCCTGGGATCCAGGCAGCACATTTGCACTTGGTTATAAATGCAAAGAGTCCTGGAGTCCTGATGGGAGAAGGAGGACTTTGGCAGTGGACCTGCCACATACTAGCCTGGTGGCCGTGGGGAAGTCCGTAGGCCTTTCTGAATCTCTTTCCTCACATATAAAATAGGAAAATAATTCCTGTCTTGTTTCCCTCAGTACAGACATATAAAATTGCTTTTGATATTGATTTGTGAACTCTAGAGTAGAAGCAAATATAGGAGATTAAGATGATTTGCAGTACGGAGCAGTGCTGTGCTTGACCGTGCAAGGCATAGCTGGGAGGGGCCCGTTAACTGCATCTTGTGGTTTTGGAACCAATACGTTTGCAGCCCAGCACAAATGGGCACACATGTTTTTCCTTGGACAGCTGATACACTCAGCCTCACTGGGGGAATCTAAGGAAAACAACTGAGGATGCTTCTCAAATACTCAGAATCATGGACTATGAGATCCACAGGGGCCTTCCTGTCATCGGTGGAATGACCAGGATGGGTCAAGTCAGTGGCCTCCAAACTTTCTGTCCACATCTTTCTACCAGTAAAGCACTTTCAACCTACCCTTTCAGTATATGAATATTTATTCATTTATAAACAATAGACATGTACTACTGTGCTAATATATACTGTGCCTTGGAAAAACATGTTTGTAATTAGAAATTTTTTAAGTTCAAAGAAAGTTCTATGATGTCCCTCCTGGACCACACAGTGGGTCATTTTGCCCACTCCATGGGAATGTGTGCCCACAACTTTGGAGTCCACTGGGCAAATGAGGAAACTGAGGCCACAGAGATGAACTGATTTGCTCAAATTCACGCAGCTAGTTGGTGAGGGAGCTAACACACTGGCCTGAAACTGCTGCTTCCTGACAATGTGTGTGATCCTAGAGTTTACCTTGTATGGCAAATTACCTCAGTGGAGTAATCATACTTACCATATTTCATTCTTAGTTTATTCCTGATGCATTAAGAGCATTTTTTCCTTAAAGCTCTTTTTTTAAAAAAAATTGTAATTTCTGAGAACAGACCTGAAAGAGAGGGTATAGATTTCCTTCACATAACAATGTGAGAAATAAAAGAGCGGGATTGTATGTCAGATGAAAATGCTATATTTATGCCTCATTGTAATCCATTCATTGCTTTATGGATCCAACATCCCCTTGGGAGAGTCACAAATCCACATAATGTTCCTGAGCACCGGATTTGGCATTTGGATCTCTGATTTAGCTGTCAGATATGTAAAATCACATGTAGCCAGACAACTCCCTGGGGACTCCACAGCTGCGAACGCTGAAGAGTGCAAGTTATTCCAACAAGGTCGGCATTAATGTGCGCACAGCTACTGGTCCCCACGAGCTGCCCTTTTGCTACACCATCTAATTTTCAGTGTGGCTCAGAGGACCCAAGTGAAGCGACTCCAGTAGAACTCTCTTCTCAGGGACTGCTCCAAGTTCAACAGAGGTGACTTTCAGAGAGGTTGCATGCCCTTAACAGAGACAACAGTTATCCTAGGACGTCTGGCCTTCTGAGGCCATTAAACAGCTCTGCTCACTGCCAAGGCCCTCCTTGACCCTCTTATCTGCTTTCCAGGCTCCTTGTCCACATAGTGGCCTCATTTAAAGGGCCCCACACATGCCACGCAAATGACTAGGTGGATGGCTCTCCCTATGGGCCTCAATATCTTCTCTTATATCCAGATGAGTCCTAATCAAGGTTGATAAAGTATGTAAATGGACACTAAACACATTTTAAAGAAAAAATAAGCTGGCAGGAAAGTTATCATTTCCTTCAAAATCAGGGATGCACCAAGAAAAATTGTTTTACTGGGAGAAATGGTTGAGTGAATGGTTTCTCCATTTCCTTCAAAATCTGTACTAGAGAAAACAAGGAATGTGAATTGGAAGGCCTGGATCTAAAGTCTTCTCTGCCGGTTAGTAACTAAAGAATCTAGCACATAAAGTGTCAAGAAATATTTGTTAAATTGGGCATGCTATTTTACTTTTCTGTGCTCCAGCTTTATCTGTAGAATGCAAGGGACAGTAACTGAAAAACAGGATTGTTGCAGTGATTAATGCTTAATAAATATTTGTGTAAATGAATACTCCAATAGAATTTAAAAAAACAGGAAATATCTACATATTTTTATCAAAACTAGTGCTCTGCTACCCTTAAAAGTGGACAGCTCTACAGCTGAGATTTCCATGTGGCCTCAAGGGCTGACAGCATTTCCAGGCACGACAAGGCACCATCGCTATCCTCTTAGGTCCCCTGCTGAGAATAATAAACTAAAATACCGATAATTAATTAAAGTAACTAAATGAATTAAAATTCAGGGTAAACGAATGGTCACTGAATCAAACCCTGCTTATTTACTGCTTCATATCCTTTTGGCTCACCTCTTAATCCTAGTCACTCCCTCAGTAATGACCCATCTGTGGAGGTTTCCTGCCAGCACAACCTCATTGTGCCTCACATGAGGCATGTACCGCACACTTTTCAGCCCTGGGCTTCTTTAACTCCAGGACACGTGCAGAGCCCACTCTCCACCTCCAAGTGCTCATGGAAATCCAGGAGAGTTGAAAACTTATGGGGCAAACTTAGCCTATGGAGGATATGAGCTGTCTGATAAATGGACATCTCTTGAGTGTGTAGTTTTGAGATATGTTCCATCAGGCTTCTCAGAGAGTCCTGAGAAATAAGCAGCCAGTTGCCCCAGTG